CTGCACGCCACGAAGCCATGACGGAGGCCAAATTCGAGCACAACCTCTTCAACCCTTTACACCACGTCACAGCCTGCCCATCTCGCTGTGTTCCAGCCCGAAACACTGTCTGCAAACAGCGCACAATATGGCACACGTTGCTCACGCATTCATAGGATTTGCCTCAGCCACGTAAGACGATTGCAGTTATATGGTTCTTCCCAGCAGAAGACTACCTAGCCCTAACACGTCTGACCCCGTTATTCCGCGATGCTTCCACCATACACCGGTGATGGCGCGCAATGGTTGTCGAAGACGGATAGTCGTTGGGCATCATCTGCTCAGAGACGAAGTTTCGCAGCGATAGAGAAACACGATGCGCAACGATCCGCAATACACATGCCCATTCATTCATTCATGCCAGCGCTAGAGACGCCGCAGATTACCAAACGCTTTCATTACGCATTGAGATCTCACTCACACCAGCTAATATGCAACTCCCGACTACTTCCAGAGTATGACTACCCAACGATCACGGTACAATCATTCTTCAAATAAAAAATATCCATGATTTGCTCGAGGGCATGAAACGGCTAGGTTGCCCCGGCTAAAGCACGTGAATCGCTTTAGGGAATTCAAAACCGGAGCCTTTGGCTGACCAAATCCTGACCCGCAAGGCAGCGGGGCTCTTGGACCACCTTGAAGTTATACACATCCACGATTGAAAGTAACTATACTTTGCGTGTAAACTGAAAGTAGAATTCCGAGTAAAACATCGATCAGTGGATAAACGGAGAAAGAACTGCCAACGCGGCGAAAACTGGGGAGTGAGTCAAATCGGCCAAGCAATGAACCTATACAGCTCATTGACGCGAAACGGCGGCGACTATCAGCCACGCTTAACCTACCGGTGCCTTAGGTGACGCCGTACTCCAAGTTTCCGGTTTCCACGATTAAAATGCAGCTCCTTGACCCGTGTTGTTTGTCACACAAATGTGAAAAGAAAACTATCAAGCATCAAGAATGCGGTTGTAGCTAAACCCTCGCAAATACGGAATAAAACTATTTTATTCACATCCAAATAAACTCGCTTATACCAGTAAAAATTTTGCAACTATTAAATGCAGCAGTATCTCAAAACGCACTTACCCCACCTGCGGATGGATCGCGCGCAGAACTTCCACTGATGTTAGAAGCCGAACAGGCCTTCGACAGCGAACGATCCAATAAATTTTGAACAGCTAAGGACTTAAACTGAGAAGGATCACAACCACCAGCAATCTAGACACGTCGTAGAAAAATCATTAGTTTATTACCTGACGAATTTCGCGCGCATCTCTGATGGCAGCAGCAAAATTTGCCGTCGATGCAGCTTCCTTCTTTTTTAAGAGTTCTATTTTCTCGCGGAAGTTGCGCGGATTAACCGAATTAAGTTGCTTCGTTGCCATCATGAGGAATGATAAGCCATCATCCAGGCTCGTTCAAGTGGTTGATGAAAAGAATCCTGGGGAGGGAATCTAGCGTGTGAGTTCAAAAAATAATATCCATGAGCGCATATATTGTTTCCTCTATTGCAATTAATTTAGGCACATCGGCACTATTCAAGTTCAACAGCGGATGATGCAACAACTTCGGTACATCATCGATGGCAACCAGTCACAAGGCCGCCGAAAATCCACCAATTTGAAAAGACCGGCTTCCGCGTGAATGCTGGGGAAAACAAACGTCATTTGAAGCCTCGAACACTTGAAGTATTTCAGGGCTTCGGGGCTAAGCCCAATGTTTCCGGATCTTGGGAAGTTGTCGGGTTTTGATTGATGGGTAATGTAAGCGGATGAGAATTTCAGTGCATGGCCCTTCTAATGTTCAGGTCAGGCCAGGTCAGGTTGCACAGGACTGATAATGGCCATGGCCAATCGAGCGTCCAGTTTCTTTCTGCAGTATGCTCACAAGGTGTGCACCCACCACTGCGAATTGCCTTCAGTACGGCGTCCTTGCTGAAAGGGAAAAGAAAAAGCTCGTCTCTTTTCACCTCATCGGCGAACAAGGGACATTGGTCATAAAGGCGTTTCATATCCAGTTTACAGGCAGAGAAAGCTCGCTGGCTTGTAGTTTTGCTTGTTTCTTGATCTATACGGCAAAGTCTGATGTTCGGAAATTTCTGTTTTTAATTCGTTTGTTCTTGTAATCTGAATGTGTAAGCGAAAAGAAAAGAAACAGGTTAGTAGGTTGCTTCTTGTCGGTGTAGCGGGTTAGTTACCTGTTGTCAATTAGCTGAACCGAATTGCATGCCTTACAAGGTGTACTGCGTGGACAGTCCAGACGTCCACCTGAGATTACTTCGAGGGTACTCAAGGTTGTTGTCCACTGCCGAGGTGATGCCCACGGCGAATTG